ACATTTAAAATATCTTCTTTCCATTTTTGTTCACCGCATCTTTCATTACCGCTTTCCCCTTCGCGGAACTTTTAACGATGTATATCATGATAAAGGTAAATTCATATAGAAAGTATGTCGGCGAGTATGGGAAAAAAACAATAAATGAATTGTATTAAATTTTTGAGGATTTGGATAAAATACAGGCTTTTCTTTTAGAAGAAAGTCTATGCGAACATGTTTTTAGTCAAAATTTTAGTATATAAAACATATTTACCTTTTTTGTGATTTTTTAAAAAAGAATTATATTTCTAATAAATGTATGAGCTTTAAAGATCTTTAAATTACAATTGCCGCTTATTTACTGTTTTTACCTGGAAATTTTATGCACGGGGGGGGGGGGGGGGGGGGGGGGGGGGGGGGGGGGGGGGGGGAGGGGGGGGTATTTTCGCTTATATTGCCATCACATAATTTGCGCAAAATATTTCGTACGCTAATGTTTTGTAGAAAGTAATTATATTGATGCAAAATAGAAACTTATCGTTGTTGCACAAATTTAACACCTACGCGAAAGCTAAGGCATTGAATTAACAAAAAAATAAAAAAAAAAAAACAAGCAAAAATATTCACATTTATAAAAAGTGTCCAAACATGTATCTTGTTCTAAGATTTATAATGTATTAAATTAAAATTCACTTCTTCAATATGATTCGATGGATATACTTGAAAGAATTTCAATACCATCTTCCTCGCAAAAGGATTTTATATGCAAAGAGTGATATTCATATTTTCAAGTAATTCTTACCTTCTCGAGCTGAATTATTTGAAAACTCTTTAAATGAAAAAAGGAATTTCTTATTGCTAATAATAGACTTTTAGTGATGCAGAATCTCTCAGATGAATCTTTATGTAAACTGATATAAAATAAAATCTAACATGAACTACAGGTAATTTTTTTCATTTACTTGTTATATCTTTTAAGTGAAAGAATATATATCCCCCAAAAAGATATAACAAAAATACCGAACTCCAAGGTAAATTCAAAAAGTGAAAGTCGTTAAAACTGACAAAATCAAACGCTACCAATCAACGGAATACGTGAAAAACAATTACCATATCCCTGACGTGGTACTGACATTGTCCATAGAAACTGGTTTTGTCGCTAGCTTAACACCCCCATTGCATTGAGTTGTTTATAGTTCCGCTACATTGACAAAATTGGATGATCAAGAGGCTGGAACACCTGGGATCGCTCCCGGTTTTTGGTGGGGTTTTCGTTGCTCAGTATTTAGTGTTCTATATTGTGTTTTATGTACTAGTGTTTGTCTTTTGGTCGGTTTTTTGCCGTCGCGTGTCAGATTGTTTTCGCCTTTAGAACTTGAATGTCCCCGTGTTATTTTGGTCTGTCTTGTGTAACAAAAAAAAAAAAAAACAAAAAAAAAAAACAAACACCGACGCAGTAACTGACAGACAAAAGTATAATTTTAATCTTTAATAAATATTTAGGCAAAGGAGAAAACTTCCTTAAAATGATAGTTTATGAGAAAAGTTGAATGCACAATACAACTTTTTATTAAATTCTTGCAAATGGAATCATACTGTCACTTTACATCTGTATATTAGTAAACAAATTATGAACAAATTGGACAATTTGAGAAATTTGTTTTCAATCGCGGTAAAAGATTTCTGGTAACAAAAATATTACTTTCATTGAATTACAAGGCGTAACTTCATCGGAGCATAACAATAAACAAATCCAAATTGCATCACCTTTACACACGAAAGATTATTGATCAAATAACGGGGAACAAATAAATCAAATCGATATACAAAAAATATAGGACTAAAAACAGACTAATTCAACCGCAAACAACCTATTTCTCCGGACAGAAAGACGAATAAATCATTAAAAACTACCAGTTGGAATGACTTGGTACACCCGCAAAATGTGATGGGATTAACTATGAATTTAATCCCCCTTTGATCCCGATTGTCACAATTTGGCTTAGTGTAGGCGTCGCATGGTGGGTTACCCATGTATAGTATGGGACGCTTACACTGTCGACACGCCCGGTCTCACTCCTGTTGGAGTTCATGCAAGTCTCCTAGTTGTGTTTGCAACTTTGATATACCTTCTTAATCGATTAATTAAGTTTAAACATTGGTGAATTACTTTTGCCTTAATTTAGCATAGCTTTGTGTAATAAAAGTAAAACACGTTGAACATTCTGCCATTTGCAAAGGATGATCATCAACTTAATCAAGGAAAAAAAGACGCACGATAATTTGGAAAGAAGGGTTAAAGGCCGTGTTGAAGGCCGTACTTTGACCTATAATTGTTTACTTTTTACACATTGTGACTTAGATGGAGAGTTGTATCATTGGCACTCATACCACATCTTCTTATTTCTATTAAACTGTTCGTATGTATCCATCAATCCTAATCAGTCCGGACATAAAGGTTCCATGCATAGTCTTTTACAATACAAAGATCAGGGGCGGAAGAAGAAAAGGAATCACCAAAAAAATATTGGTATAATATACAACATCCACAACCAGCACCTGTCTGTTTTGAACGAAAAAGAGTTTCAAACAAGACAAACAGCAACGAACAACTCAGGATACAAGTAGTTTGATTCAGTGCTCCAAAACATGTTTAGAAATGCCACATTCTTTATGTGCCTGTCAAAAGTCAGGAGCCTGTAATTTAGTGGTTCTCGTTGGTTCATGTCTGCTAAATTTTATATTAGTAAATGCAAAAATACTGAAATGCCAGTTGAATGTCTTAAAATATTGAATTCCTTCAGAACATAAAAAGGCATTCACATGTTATTTTTTGACACAATATTTGGTAAATAACTAAATGCTTGAATGATTCGAGAACCACTGATGAGTATTGTGTAGATTATCTGGAAGGGTAAGCAGTTTTATTTTACTAGTTGCACATGTGATTGGGCTTCTGTGGAGAAACAACATAGACTAAAACTGAACCAACAATAGATTCCATGAGCATACACGGCCGATTATTTGGTTGAGTGAACCGGTAGACAAGATATGATATCCCCTGTACAAATGATTAAAAAGAAAAACGATCAAAATCAATTCCGAAAAATAAAATTGATAAGGACGTTAAAGGCTATTCATCATCATCAATACAATTATTAACACGGTAAGGTTGTCTATATCATACGTTGTCATTTACCCTGAATGCTAACATTACACAAAATGATGTTAAAATCTCATTAATCCAATAGAAGAAGAAAGAAATCAAGGTAAACTATTAAGGATGTGTGGATAAATTACCAGGAGTCTATACAGATATGAATAAGTGAAAAATAAATTATCATAGATCTGCAATCAACACAATTTTCTAAAAAAAAAATAAAACCCTTTAGATATGACATACAACAGCAGGTTCCTGACTTGTGTCAGGTACATTAACATGTATTGGGGCAACAGTAGTTTACCCAACGAGAGAGTGGGATTCGCATGAGACAGGTTGTGTCGACATGATAAGCGTCTCTTACTATTCATGCATCATCCGCAATGTGAATATATTCTCGAGAAAAATGTCAAAAACTTATTACATTTGTTTACTAGCTTGCTAGATATTTTAGTTGCATATAAATAAAATCATGTTCTGAAAATGTAGTACAATCCGTATGCAAGGTTCTCCAAAACAGACAAAAACCAAAATGACCTATCTAACCAGCTTTAATTTAATTTGTTTTGTAAAAGGTCATTTTGTAAGAATGCACATATACAACTTGAATATGATTATACTTGCATGTGCTTTAAAATAACAATATCTTTATTATCCGATTCGATGGACGCATTGAAAAAACGAAACCACTTGATTCTCAAAAGTGTTTAATTTTCAGAGAACGGGATGTATAGTTTTCAACAATCTGATGTTTTCTGACCAAAGAAAATACTTTTTCATTTGCATTTACGAAAAGAATTTTTTTCAGATGTCAGTTGTCTATTTTGCAACGTCGAAAGATAACAAAAAGATATCTAGAGGTCAACATAAGGACTTTAACAAGAGAAAAAATCACTATACATTATTTGAAACTTTATATTGTCTTAAGTAAAAAAAAAGTGTATCCACATAAAAAGAAGATTAAAATAAACAAATTTACTGCATGATATAAGTTAAGTGATGGAACATCATCGGTTATTCTACATAGAAACGAAACGGGGACAGCTGAAGTTGGGGCCAAGCTATATATTTAGTGTTCGCTTCTGCAGCCTAACAAATTTAAAAATTGGTTATATAACATTGAATCTGCTTTCTTAATTCCCTTTTAACCGACTTTTTTTTTATTTGACTTTTTATTTAGTTGACACAGGAATTTTGTAACTACCCCAAACAATCCTATTGCATGAGTTTTCATCATTTACTTGCCTACCAAGTTTCGTACACCGCCATGTCAAAAAATAAAAAGAAAAAAAATTTCACTGTTCTCTATGTTGATGTTCAACTGGTTCCTCCATATGGAGAAAATGTTTATTTTACAAGCCAAATTGTAATGCCGTTCTAGATGTTATCAAAAACCCAACTACAACCGCACTATGAATATTGATATACTTGATATTGATATATGTGCATTACATAAAAACAATTTATTTTGAACCATTGTGGATAACCTCTAGATTTAACCTTTGAACTCCAGATCAAATTACTAATTTTTGGAACATTCAAATGACTACCTAAAAACTAAAGATAGGTTTGCTTGCTTTGACAAATATCTCAAAATATCTCAAAATCCTTGTGATCTCACTCCAAAACCATATATAGTATCATATGCCTTGAAAATACCTTTCTATTACTAGAATTTGATTGTTTGCCTTTCCTTAATGGCGAAAATTCTTTAGATAGAAGGGAGAAATTAATTTATGTCAATTAAAACAGTTCCACATAGTTATGTTATTAATCAAATAACCAATCATTCCTTTCACTACATTATTTGACTGTTTTTGTTTTTCTTATGAAAATGGACAACTTGCGTAAATATTGTTCATATAAACCTACCTGTTAGGGGCACGCATTCTGTACGTTCTTCGATTACTGTTATTCCCTGTGTCGCTACAATTCAGAATAAAAACATGCACTATGTGTCATTTGGTCTTCTGTGGAGAGTTGTCTCATTTGCAATCATACCACATCTTTTTTTTATACTATATGTTTCTTAAGTACAAGAAATACTTTTAAGAGGATTCTGTCTGCCTTTGTATAGTCTTTCTATATGAAACCATAGCTATACTGAACTATATAAAAGTAAAAAGATGTGGTATGATTGCCATAAGACAATTATCCACCAGAGAAGTTGTGGTATGATTGCAATAAGAAGAAGGATGGGGTACATAATAAAGGCAACAGTAGTATACCGCTGTTCGCAAACTCATTAATCGATAGAGATAAAAACAAATCCGGGTTACAAACTAACACTGAGGGAAATGCATCAAATATAAGAGGAGAACAACGACACAACAAAAACACAACATTAAAATGTAACACACACAGAAACGAACTATAATATAACAATGGCCATTTTCCTGACTTGGTACAGGACATTTTAAGAAAAAAATGGTGGGTTGAACCTGGTTTTGTGGCATGCCAAACCTCCCGCTTTTATGGCAACGTCAAACACAACACCAAAACGACAACATCACATGACAGGACCACACTACAAATAAATGGGAGAACATATAGGACAAAGAAACGCACGAATAATAGCTAACAAAAGGTACTAGGCTTAAAATTCAATACGCCAGACGTTCGTCTCGTCCACACAAGACCAACAAGTGACGCTCAGATGAAAAAAGTTTGAAAGCCGAAACAAGTACAAAGCTGAAGAGCATCGAGGACCAAAACTTCCAAAAAATTGCGCCTAACACGGCCAGGGTTTTCTGCCTGGGACAAGAACATCCTTATTATTTAGAATAATTTATAATTTTGCAAACAGTAAATTTTATAAAATGACTATATAATAGATATACATGATAAAACCAAAGTGGGGACAAACTACAGAATAAAAACGGATACATTACATAAAACAACTTAATCCAACACATAAAAAAATACACAGCCGAGTTAGCCAAAGCCTCAACGCACAAAGTGACGTCACATTTGAAATTCTAAAAAAACACACAAAGTGACGTCACATTTGAATTTGTAAAAATATTTCCAAAAATAAGATAGGATTAGGATTGATTAAAGATTATATTTGTAATACTGACATTACATTTATTAATAACAATGAAAATTACAATACTTATTAATATCAAATGGTAGTAATTAGACAATTAATTGTATTATCTAGCTATGTCGGTGTTTCTTCTGAATCAAACTGTAAACCAAATATATCGTATAAATTTCGTTGAACCAAACTAAAATCTAATAAATGAAGGGGGTGATTAATTATCTTTACCATAACACACGAATATAACAGAAAAGACGTTAAGACATTTGACAAAATCCGACGAGAACAACAAATATAACATCAAAATTAAATACATGAATTTGGGATAGAAAGGTACCGTGACACGTCTTATAGCAATGCGGTTTTACACTCAGAAAAACAGTCACAATCGGGAATAAGTCACGTTCGGTAATTTAAAGATCAGAGGACGTAATGACAAACCACAATCTAACACGTGGTAAAAATGTCCTTAGTTAGTTTGAACAAAGACACATCGTATGGATCAACCAATTGGTGATGGTGTCCGTAAAATTTACGGAGTGTCATTTTTAGTCTGTCCTCCTCATAACTTTGTTGGAGCAGTTTCTTCGTAAGGAGCACACTCCTGTATATGAAGTCCGTATAGTGTGAACAAGTACGTTTGCCAATGACACAAATATTAAACAGAGACCAAACGACAAAGATAAAAGCAACTCTATATCAACGTACGGTCTTCAACATTGTGCAAATTTAACGTATAATAAGCTACAAAGGTACCCAACATGACAAAATGTAAAACGATTTAAACGAGAAAACTAACGACCTGATTTATGTATAAGAAAATAAACGAAAAACAAAATATGATCGACAGTAACCAACAATCAACCACTGAATTACAGACTCCTGATTTGTGACAGACACATTCAGAATGTTTGTGATCGCTAAACTCTCCCCATAGTCTGGGGCAGTAGAGAAACAATACAACATCAAAATGTTTGAATATTAACATAGACAATTTTACAGCGTGTTGTAGCTCCTTACGTTTCTACGTTTTTATGCTTCCCCGGCTTTCAAATATTTAAGTTTGAGCGTTTCTGATGAAATAAATCCAGAGTGTCTCGATTGATTGATTGATTGTGCGTTGCTTAACGTCCAGTGGCAATTATTTCATATATGTTCTGGACGAGAACAAATTGACAATAAATACAATTGGTAGGTCATGTATTAGAGGCCGTCCAGAACAAAGGTTAGGGAAATTTGGACGGCCACTGGAAAATGAGGGTATATTGGATAGAAATTTTGCCTTGAAACAGGCCACGTGCGGACCCCAAAAGAGTTGTTGCAAAGGCTTTCACTCTCTCTGCATCGGATTTGACGTACCAATTCTGATCGGACGTGACTGCGTACTTGTACATCCCTAATAGCCAAACGGACATCCCCTTTGGCAAGGGTTTTACTGCAGGTCGGAAAAAGACATAAGCGACCATATTTCTATTCCCACGTCTCCTTGTGGGGAGAAAGCGCCTCGAAAACACGAAATTTGTAAACTTTATTTTAAGAAAATTTGTAGAAATTAGGTAATTAATGCACCTGCTCAATTGATTCAACAATAATACAAACTGCTTTTAAAATTCGTTCTAATAATTTGATGATTACTGATTTTCTAATGAGGGGGATTCGTGTTGCTCTGTCTTTAGTTTACTATGGTGTATTTTTTAGACTGCTGTTTGAATTTTGGGCGTTTTTGTCATGGCATGGTCAGTTCGATTTCAACCTATGAGTTTGATTATCCAATTGATATTTTCTACATCTCTTTTCATAAAATTTAAAGATTCGAAAATTCATTGAAAAACGAAATATGTGTGTATGAATGTCAATTCCAAAGCACTCTATCGCAACAATACTATTTTTAGTTACAATCACACGAAGAATTGGAATGATTGTCAATCTTAGAGTACTCTATGGCACAACAGTTCACAAAAAGAAGTAAATAAATTACAAATATATAAATCAATACATTATATCTTGAATCAATACATCACATATAAAAAATAACTTGCCAGACAAAAAAGCAATGGTACTTACATCTTTTACTTTTCAAATAAAAGCGAACACAACACACCGCAAAAAGAGTCCCCACTACACATGCGAATACTGTTAAGGACAGATAAAAAATATGAAGTCCACCTGAATTAATAAAATATAAACAAGGGTAAAAGTGTTAATATTTGTCAAGCGCTTTTGTATTTTCGTGTGAACTTATCATCAGTTTCCCAAATATGAACTTAGTACAAAATCATTAAATGACTAATTGCATTTGCATGAATTTAATTTTGATATAATAAAAAGTAAAATTACAAAAATACCGAACTCCAAGGAAAATTCAAAACGGAAAGTCCATTCCCAAATGGCAAAATCGTTCAAATACATCGAATGAATTGAAATCAACTGTCATATTTCTGACTTGGTACAAAGTCTGCAAAAGGAGTTTAACGAACAAAATAAAAGCTATGTATCGAAGAATACCGTAAAAGTCTCGTCAAAAGGTTTGAGTTCATTTGCTCATCAAAGAAGAACTTAGATGGACAGCAATTCAATCATTCTTAATTATACATAGATATTTCCGATAGATATTTACCATATTTTCCCATACATTTCCATGCTCCCGCGTTGAGTCACAATAACTGTTTTAAGAGTAAATTAACAATTTGATTTTTTTTGTATTTGATTAAAAGTAGATTTTAGAAAAAAGGGTAATGAAAAAAAAAGAAAAAAAAAAAACCCCAATATGCAATTTAAACCAATGAAACAAAACCTCTCTAATTGAAAATAGCAAATATTATGCAATGTTATGTTTATACCTTTATTCTCCACCGGATTGTTATCCGATATAACCTTCATTTGCGTTGTGCGTGTTGGGACAAACTCTGTAAAATACAATTTTGTTTTGTACGAAGTATCAATCATTCCACTCTGTATATGCGTTTTGTTAAAATATACTTTTTCCCTTTTTTGGTCTTTTGGAAAATGTTGTTTGTGCTGTATTTAGACCCCTCTACCAAGAAACGTGTTTTGCATGCACACGTATAAAAAAGTGAAAAAGTATATTTTAACAAGCAGGTCGAACAACGGATGTTCTTAAACCCTGCTGACTGCCATTGGCGATTGTTAAATAAATGGATCACCAAATGTAACAAAATGGATCTTAACTATTAATTTAATACCAAACAGAAAACAATAAACTTGCGGAAAAGATGGTATACCGCAAAAAAAGGTGCCAAAATTAGTACATCATATCCGGATTTCGACAATTAATGTCTCTTCAGTGATGTTAGGAATCGAAACGGTATTTGGAAGGCCATATAATTTACCTCAATTTAGGATTGACTCTTGAATTTTGAAGAGTCGAAATAGGATGAACGGATTATAAAAACCCGAAGGCATATATAATACAAGCCCAAACGAAAAAATATATAAACAAGTCTAAATTGAAAACAACGTTCAAACCTACGATTGCATTGGATTATATATATAAACAAGTCTAAATTGAAAACAACGTTCAAACCTATGATTGCGTTGGATAAAAACCACAATTTTGTCTCCTGGATAGATGCACACGCCTGATGAAGCTAGTTTGTCTACCGAAATATTGCATATATCTATTTAAAATGTAATAGAACTTTTTTAATGTATCAATGAGCGTGTTTAAATATATATATATACAAGTCTAAATTGAAAACAACGTTCAAACCTATGATTGCGTTGGATAAAAACCGCAGTTTTTATACGTGTGCATGCAAAACAAATTTCTTGTTAGAGGGGTCTAAATACAATATATATATTTATATATATATATATATATATATATATATATATATATATATATATATATATCTATATATCGTTTTTCAATTTAGACTTTTATATATATATATATATATATATATATACATATATATATATATATATATATAACTCGTCTAAACATCAGCCCAACAATGTTAGATCTGTAAATAATTTGCTTTCGCATATAAATAAATGCCTAAGAGTGTAGCTTTAATACACTAATGAGGGGTTTAAAAATAGTTCTTATATCTTATATATTCACGCAATATTTCGCTAAACAAATCATAATTTTTACTTATTCTTTGGATGGAGAAGTTTTAGTGATTCACGTACATATTTTCCGATCTTGTTATGAAGTTCAATCCTATTTATACTGTTCAATTGACAAAATATTTAAAAAAAAGATGCATTGTATTTTATCATATGTTTCTTTCAAATTGTCGTTAGGGAAAAATATAAAGATTTTGATTGTTCTCACTGGATCTTAAGGCAAAAGGTTTAAAAATGTGAATTAAAATCAAAATTTGAGGTTTGTAAAACTAAACTTTTATAATATATATATAAACTTATTAGAAAACTATAGTTTTCAACGGAAACATAACATAAAACAAACCAGGTCCGCAATGCTCTTCAACGTCGGGCTTAATTTGGTCTTTCTTTAAAACTATTTTTCATTCAAGTGTCACTAATCAGTCTTTTGTAGACGTAACGCGCATCTTGCGTATAAAATTTTAATTCTGGTATATATGATGAGTTTATTTACATGTACTTTTTAGAATTAAATACTTAATTCTACCTATCATTTCAAAATCCTTATATTTTAAATGTTAAGAAATAATGAATCCATAAGATAGATGGAATGGTTTTTATACGCCAGTCTTTGTCTGGACGTATTATGTTGATTCGTAGGCCGTCCGTGCTTCTGTCCGTCCGTCAATATTACAATGGCAGAGGAGTAGACTAAAAAGTTGGCTGGGACGAACTTCTGAAAGTGACGAGGAAAACAAAACAAAACTTAACTAAACACATAAATAGTCTAATAGATTAGAAGTAAGTTAGTTTTATTTTTCATTTTCATTTTTGTATGTCAATAATTTTGCCAAACAGAGGAAGGGGCAAGAACGAACTCTTTAAAGCGGAGTAGAAGGTGATTTCGAACAAGTTTACATTCCAATGGACGGTGTTTCTGAAGGCAAAAGTTGTGCGGCCACAGATAATATCTGACAAATACTGATACATAAGTGTGATAGATGTACTACGTAGGTGTACATTGTTGTTATTATTGAATGTTAGTTTCAAACGTCCAATTTGCGATATCTGCGACAACTTGTACTACGAGGTCAGATTAAGTGTTCTGATGAAAGACAACTCTTTTCTTAAAACGCGTAATTGTTTTGAAAGGTCGGTAACATAATCTTTAATGGGTTTTATTTGAAAGAGTACACAAAACGCTTACCTTATTGAAATATTAATGAAGAAATAAGTGATAGATATTTTTTAAATACTGGACACTTTTTTTATATCTTACATAATAGAATTTATGATTCAGCATAAATTCGGTTATTAGTGTAAGCATAGATTACTTGTGTTATTAGCCGTTTCACCTCTATTAAATGTAGGCTATCAGATGTATGTTTGTCAATGCGCAATATGACTGCGCACGCGATCTTTTTCATTCCGACATTTGAAAGAAACAGACGGAATATTATTTGGTGATTGAAAGAAAATTATCTTGGTGATTAAAAAGATATAGGATCCTCAGTGTGTAGGTTTAGTACCACTTTTTTTAATATTGGTGGTATAATTAGTCTCCTGCAATAATTGTGGGATATTTAATAGAATATCAGTGTTTTATAGCAAATTAATTTTAATTTATTGCTTATTTTGCTTATTTTTACATGTTATGATACTTTTACTATCCGGAGGTAGCGATCGGTGTTTATCATGTATAAGAATTGAGCTATTAAAAATTGTTTATGTACTGTTACATAGAGATATACACGTTTTATTCTTTTTCATTTCAACGCTTGACACCGATCTGAAAATTTCACTCCGGCGGTCACAGCTTAATGCTAGTTGAAAGTTACGCATGTTCAACATAATTATTTTTTATCTTTTCATGTATGCATCACCATAACCATAATTGTAAGAATCATTATATATGCACAATCAACAATTTGTCAGCTGTCTTATTATCAGTATAGATGTTATTATTATCATTATAGATCGTTATTATTATTGATGCGCAAAGATCAGAAACACAGTTTGGCAGTATTTGGCCACAGCTTTATTACAAACTACACAATTATAAATCCATATAACTAGATAAACAGTTAAGATATATATATATATATATAGCAGATAGATAATTAGATAGATAGATAAATGAACGTAGTCGCCTTTCATATTGGCACACTACAAAAAGATAACTAGATAACTAACTAGATAACTAAATATTTACAATAAATGAAGCATCCAATAAAATAAAATGAATCCTGGGATACAGAGATTCATAATTTTTTGTGTGGTGGGTCCTGGGATACAGAGACCCCCAATATCAAATGTTTTGGATGCTAAATGAAATATGCGACAAAATGACGCATAGTTAAAGTAAACGCAGCGAAATGTGCCCATAACTTAATACAGTACTAAATGTTCATATAAGCGGGCGTATGCAAGCAACGGATGAAATGTACAGACTACTCAATTTATATATATCTAAAACACATAGTCTTGAAACAGAACACGCACATTACGTTGAGATGGTACAGCTGTACCAGCAAACTACGGACTACAGACAAGTTTACAGTAGACACTAAACTGATACGCTCCATATACAGTGACTGCTTAGTTGACGTCTCACACCTTTAATTGTAGCAGGAACATTCTGAAAAAATATATCAAGACACAGCAAAAATTTGTCCATATATAATATGCAATGTTGAAACAAATAGTGGTGGGTGGGTGGGTTTTTGAAATCACCAAAATATATCCGTCTGCTTCCGTCGAATGTAGCTATTGAAAAGATTGCATGCGCAGTCATACTGCGCGTGATCAATCAGATAAGTGATAACCCACATTAGACAAAAAGTAGAACGGCCAATGACATACATAGCTTACACTAATAACCGAATTTATGCTGAATCATAAATTCTATTATCATCATTATAGATGGGTTGGTTTGTTGTTTGTTTTTTTTTTATCATATATAATACATGTGATGTAAATATCGTCTAGTATTCTGTTAAATTACTACTGTGTCCGCTTAATTACTTGACCGATATTATAATATAAAACAGCACATATCACCTCACTTGCGCTATTTTTAACAGCATCCTGCTATTGCCTAGTCATTCGGTACAGATTGTTTAATCAGCCTCCTCGCTCGTGTAAACCAGAATATTTTATTGTTATCGGATGCTGACCGACATTTGTGCAACGGTATCACTTCACGTAGACAAAAATATTTCATTCCTGACAGATGAATGTTTAATCTGGTTGGTTATAGGCGTCAATGAACTTTTAAAGGTCGCTAAGTGACAAATTCTTTATTTATAGTACAAAGCAATATTCTGTTTTGGTTGTTCAATTATATTCTTATAGTTGTTTGTCACTAAGATGAATACAAGAAGGTCATCCAAAAAGTGGAAAGCCACTGCAACGTTCGAAGCTGCATCAAGACAAGAGGAAACACAACTTCATCCAGGTTCAGTACCAGCATCTAACGATCCCTCAACTTCAGGAGGATGTTCTTTTGATGTAGTAAATCGACCAGGTAATGCAATAGGTAAAGATCTTTCAAATCTCACGCAAACAACTAGTTATTCCCTAGTCTTGACTATGATATAACATTCCATGTAAGTCAGAACTTAAAACAAAAACAAAAAATCAAACGGGCGAGTATGTCGATTTTGCTCTACTTATTAACAACTCTGTAATTGATAATGACCAGCAAAAAGTTTCATATGAACAGGGGAAACTTGTTATAAAACCAGTTTTGAATCATACAAAAATAACAAACAAAGATTTTGCACTTGAATATAAAGATATTGTTGCTGAGATACTATTGCAGTGGAATTAA